GATTTTAAACAGAATCCACCAGAATTTTTGAATGGAGGTGAATGGAGCAATTATGTGCACTCCTTGTGGTTTAGGCCACCTGGAGTAAAAACCGTGTGTTTTTTAAAAATGAAAACAGCACCAACTGAAAGAGGACAAAAATCTCTACCATTTAGGTATAAATGTGTGTGTAAAGGTTAATTTTTAGTTGAGAAAACAGTGCAAGTAGCAACAAGACTGAACTTGCTCAAAGTTAGAGTGGGCGATGACATCACCACTCTAGGGCTCCCATAGGGAATGACTTGGGTGATTTTTGGCCCGAAATTCGCGATTTTTACGGAAACCGCTGGTCAAATCAGTCCGAAAAGACATAGCATAAATCTACAGAACAGCTTTGAGGTGTGTGGAAAGTTTCGTGGCTGTAGCTCAAACGGGCTAGGAGGAGTTGACGGTAGAATTTTTGTCAGAAGAAGAAGAATAAGAAGAAGAAGAAGAATAATAATAAGTTTAAGTGCAATATCAATATGTTGGCTTTGCAAGCAAGCCAACATAATAATAGCCAGTAACATTGTCACTACATTACTAATAATAGCTAGTAACATTGTCACTACATTACTAATAATAGCTAGTAACATTGTCACTACATTACTAATAATAGCTAGTAAGATTGCCCCCACATTAGTAATAATACAGTGGTTCTCAAACCTTTTTAGTCGAGCCCCCCTTTAAACCTTTAAAAGAATCTGGGCACCCTCAGATGTAAAATAATAATTATTTAATAATGAATTAATAATTATTTTAATGTAAAATAAATGTAACTACTCCTTAATGTAAGTGTAACGTCCACTGCTAGGTCTATGTACCACATTGTATTTGTATGTATGTTGCCCTTTAAGAGCTGCCCCCCAAAGTGTGTGCGAGGAGAGGGAGAGACGAGTGTGTGCGAGGAGAGGGAGAGACGAGTGTGTGCGCTGCTCTTCCCTGTTTTATATGGTTTACTTTTGTTTTGTGACGCTGAAGGAGGCTAAAAATAAAGGTTTGAGTTTGGGATGATGTGCTCGTCTTAAAGCTCCTTCTTTTTCCACTGGCTATCCGGCACACGCGTCACATCAGGCTCAAGAAACATCGCAGATAAAATATAAGCTGTGCCCATTTCACATCTTGAAATGTATTTTAGCGTGATAAATCGGGTTTGTAGCGTGAGAGATCACTCAAATGCGAGAGTCTTACGTTTAATGTGTGAGAAACGGCAGCTGAGCTCTGTAGTTTCGCTCGTGAGTATGGATGCGGAAGCCATTGTGGGAAATGTAGTTTTTTCCCCATTTTCGTTACGACCGCGCTATGGCAGAGATGGGTGATGACGTCAGCACCGGGTGTACAAATATGTCTGCGGCTTCGGCCTAGCTCCGGAGCTCTTATGCCTCTCATACGGCCGTGACCGGACTTCGCGGCACTCTGCATTCGCTCGATAAGACGCACCAACTTTTCCCCCTCAGTTTTGGGGAAGAAAAAGTGTGTCTTATGAGCCGAAAAATATAATAATTAAAAACTTAGGGTATTGAAATGACTTAATGAACTCAGAAAATATCTCTGTGGTTTGTTCTTGCTCAATGAATATCATATTGACTTGGCATTTTTTCCCTTTAAATGCTTACTTTAAACAATAGAACATTTAAGAAGGAAACACTATGCAAATCCGTTCATAATCTAGAAAACCCAGGGAAATTTTTTTCCTGGCTTTTTTCAATTCTCAGCTCTGCAAGCTGGAGCTACGGGGACTATTTTGGACAGAGAGTCAGGCAAGGAGTTTTTAGAGCTGGTAGGTAAGTTGTATTTAGACATTTTTAGAAATTCCAAGTGGACTCTTTGTAACCTCTTGACAGTTCATTTATGGTTATACGGCAGTAGTGTAAGCTCAGAAGTCATGGGCGCTGGTGAACTGTCTGTAACCTTTTGATGGACTCAAGTGTCTATTACTTTCACTCGTTGCCTCATGTGTTATCCCATAAACAAATATGGATATAACATTATCTACATCTCTGTTACAGCAGCTTATGCTAAAACTTTGATGTTGGCTTGTCCCAGTTAAAATTATTTTCTTGATGTTGTTAATGTCACAATGAGTAACAAAAACCAGCCTCCATGTCTTTATTATTTTTATAAGATGAAATAAAGAGTTATCGAATTGGTTGCTATGGTAAAAAAGTCTGGTTGCTTTGGAGGGGTCAGTGACATAAAATAATGTTCCACATATCAATATGAGTAAAATAAAGCAATCCCCATATATTTATGATTTTAATAAGCTAAACTAGAGATTTGCCAGATCGGTTGCTATGGTCAGCAGTCTGGTTGCTATGGAGGAGTTAGTGACATCATAATGTCCCCCATGTCAATACGAGTCAAATAAATCAACCCTCACATCTCTATGATTGACAAACCGACATAATATGTTACATTTTGTAATTAATGCATGACAATATCCAGAAATCTGAGGGAGAATTGCAAATCCTTGAGGTTATAGAACAAAAGATAGAACATTCACCGATGTAAAATGTGCAAGCTGATTCCGTCTTTCTCCAGGAGGGATACGTGGCAACGTGTTTCAGTAGCAAACTCTAGACTGGAATCATCCAAGCTTTGGTGCCAGCGTCTCTGAGCCCAGCAGAGCATCCATTGCTGGAGCTCTGAGATTCCAGGCTGATCCGTGAGATTACTCTGCTCAGAGAGTGTGGCTCAAGTGTCACTCGCAGGATTTGGAAGGTTGCTGGAGGTTTCATCAGTGCCTGAGGTCACATGTGCGGAATGTGTTACGAGGTGACGGGCGCTGGGGAAATTTTCGACTCGGTGAGATTAGCTCCGAGCTGTCGTGAGTTACTTACATAGCAAACAAGAATCAGAAGTGAATCAGGGCTAGAGTTGTCATGAGAACCAGCTTGACTGTCACAAATCTTTCATGAGTTTGTTAGATGTTAGTAACTACTCTGGCTGTTTATTGAGTGATTTGGTTTCTCTTTTAAAGGATTCAAAAGCACAGTATCTGAATGTTTTTTTTTATTTTATTGATTAGAAATGCTGACTCGTTAAGATAAAAGGCACATTTGATTATAGATTGTTAGCTTCTTATTTGTTCAGAGGTGTAAAGTAACGTGAATGTGAGTAAATTTAACCCTCATATTAGGTGAAGGGTCAAAAACCCCATTTCAGTTTCTTTTGTTTACTAAAGTACTGGTTATCCTTTATTTATCTTCATCTTTTAGCCTCATCTGGGGTCACAAACTAGTCTGAAAAATTTGGACACTTTGATCTGTCCTCAAATGTCTGTGCCATAGACTGTAAAAAAAGATGGACGACCTGACACTGCCTACTGCCGTTGAGCTCAAAAGAAGCCATTACAGAACTCGAGAGGAGGTTGCCATTGACGGTGGCACATGTGTACAAGTGACTTCCTGTTAAGGGTACACAGTAAAATCCTAAGAGTTATATTAACTCTACTCAGGGTGTATTTGGTCCCACTCTATATAGAGTTAAACCAACTCTGAAGGAGAGTTATTTGAATAAGTCTATTTGAACTAAACAGTCTATTTTTGTCTGTTTTTACTCTTTCTGGAGTGGACTTGGTCCCTCTCTGAATAGTTAATATTTAGATTTGGAAAAACATGAAGAAAATAGATGACTAAATTACTCTTTCTCAGAGTCGGTTTAACTCTATATAGAGTGGGACCAAATATACTCCGAGTAGAGTTAATTTAACTCTTAGGATTTTACTGTGTAGAACAGTCGTGGTTTCAGAGCTCCGCCTCGAGTCTGGCTCTCACACGCAGCCTGTTATATACGATATTTTTCGGCATTTAAAAAAAATCTACTTTAAATTTGATCGTTGGTGGTGTAAATGAAGTCAGCTCTGTTCTGTGTAGCTGTCAATCACATGGTCCCACCTGTTTTTTTAGGGGAACAATCGTGAACCACATGAAATAAACTTGAGTAAAGAAAAAAACTATTGAAGTTTGTTCAGCGAATAAATAACTTTTGAAAATCATTAAAACCGTTTGTGTAAATAACTTTCTGAGGAAATAATGGTTAAAGTTCAGCTTTTTCCCATAGAGTTGTATTGGGTGGTAATCATTCTGCAGCCAGGGCCATAGGGGCACTCGCCGCGGTTTGTGCGGAGCTGGTATACAAAGACGTGGAAACTTTAATGTTGGTTAGAAGCAGTTGAGATTCAGATTCGTCTTTCTGGAACTATATGTCCAGCAAGCCTTTCAAATATGGGCAGCCAGTGATGGTAAATCTAGTTTTGCATGGAATATGCAAGTGTACACCGGAAAGTTACCTGGAAGAGCATCTGAGGACAATCAGTGCATCCGTGTGGTGCCAGAGATGAGTGGAGAAGAACTTCAGAAAAGAAAGCTGACTGTGTTGGGAACAATCAGAAGAAATAAGCCAGAACTACTGAACTTCTGAAGATGCCGGGAAGATCTATGTATTTCTCACTATGTGTTTTCTCCGAAAGGCAACAGTTGTTTCATACTGCCCAAAGAAAAACCAGAACGTTCTTGTCATGAGCACAGAGATGAATCTCTGACCTTAAGAGAAGGCACGAAGCCACAATTGATCCTGGAGAGCAAGACGCCCGTGTGCTCGGTGTGTTGTTGTTTTTTTACAACAGTGTGGATCTGTCTGTTTACAATGCCTGCATCCTGTGGAGTGAAATCAACCCACAATGGTTCCTGGAAGAACTGGGTAAAAGCCTGGCCACTCCCAAGACCCAGAGGCGAGCCAGGGCAGCTCGATCCCCAGCAGCTGCCATTGAAAAAGTCAAGTTTGTACCATCCAACCAATCTGCACTGGATCCAGTAGATAATAGTGCAAAGAAATGGAAAAGATGGCAGGTATGTTGAACACTGAAAATCTGGAAAAATAGGGCAAGTTTTAAAATAGTGTTTGTGAAGAAGAAAACACTTCTTCTGAATAATTCTGAATAGTAATAACTGAATAATTCACAAAAAAAATAAAGTTGTTTTTTTCCTGTGGCTCAACTGGTAGAGCATTGCGCTATAACAACGCAAAGGTTGTGGGTTTAAATCCCAAGGAAAACAACAAAAAAAGTGTTCATTTATTAAAATGTAAGTCACTTTGGATAAAAGCGTCTGCCAAATGCATACATGTAAATGTAACCTTTTTTTGACCGTTCTGAGTGGATTTACACAGTACGGGTCAAAATGACCTCCAACATAATCAACGTGATTTTTTTTTTTACATAATATTAACGTTAAAAATGTTTACTTTTACTTCTAGTTTGGTATCTGTACTTTTACTGCACTACTTTTCTTCACCCTGCCTTAATTACTTATTATTATTTATTTAAATGTAGTTTTTTTCTACAGCGATTGGCACCTGTCCTGTCCAATTGATTTGTGTATAATGGAATGATCGCCCAAAAATGAGATCGAGCGAATTTAAGCAATACAATCAGTAGAAATTATTTCTCGTTTATTTTCTTTCATCGTATACCACTCTTTCACTCTCTTGTTCTATTTGTCACTCTTTCACTAAATCTTTCTAAATCTGCATTTTGAGGGAAATGTAAAGAATTAAAAAAATCCTTATTTAATTATTTATATCATGACATTTTTAGAGAAGTTATACTTAGAGCAATCCCTGAAGAAAACAATTCCTTTTAAAACAAGAAAATATGAACCCTTTTTTTTCGTGAAAACAGATAAAAGGTTTCAGATTACAAACCAATGTTTACTTGTTACAGTTTTTCTTGATTACTAAAACAGCTGTTTTCTCTGAACTGTAAACACAAACTTCAATTTTCTCAAAACCTCAGACTCTTCCTGGAAAACCAAACTTTCACCTCAGAACAGTTCAAGTCTGTGTTATCAAATGTTATCAAATTGTGCCCTGAGTCAATGAAAATGAAAAACACTTTTGAATAGTCACTGTGTATAAAAATAGAAAACACAATGCTCAGCTGGGGAAATAAAAGTTTATTGTTCACTGTAGGCCAAATGCGTGCTGCCAATCAATCAAAGAAAACCTGTGCATTGCACACAAAGTTGCAATTTTTTACAAACATTTTCTGAAAACATACTTGGCCTTCCTCTTCCTCCCCCTCTCACTCTCACTCCTTTGGCTCGGCCTCTGTTGGCATCCATTGCTGCAAAACAGAAGAGCTCATATATTGCCCTTTTATGCTAAAGATTTATGATTGTGAAACTGTGTGATGGGTGTTTGCCCTTGTGATGTGCCAGTCTGCATATGTGTGCAGTGTGTTCCTTGACATTTTCTGCATGAAAATTGTGCCGAAAGCAGAGAATGGTGTGTACTGTTTTGAAAAAAGTGTGTTTTAGAACTGTAATTTGAGTGTACAGCAGGAGTTGGGGAAAAAAGTTACATGTTGTGGTCATTGTTTCTCAAGTACCAGAATTTGTGTGTAAATAATTGAGAAAAACTGAAGGTCGCAAGTGAATGTGAGAAATTATTGCAGCTTTTCAATCTGGAGGTCCAGTGGGGGTTTACGGATGGGCAGGATACCAGCTCCATAGTATGTCATACTGTAAACACTGTCAACATTTACGTACTGTACTATATTGTCAAAAAAAAAGTATTTCTCTAAATCTTGGTGAATCTTCTGATGTTTGGTCGTACCTTTTGTCCAGACTCCCTCATGCTCACACCATGGACAAGAGCATGATCAATCCCAGTAGCTCTAATTCATCAGATATTACTGTTCTTTGACTTTGCTGACCACCTCAACCTCCGCTCATACAAGATCTCTATTCGCTGTATATCCAGTGCTCTCGCTTACTCTATTTGTTACCTCACACCTGGAGCCACAAGTATGATCAGTTTTGACTTGTGTTCAGGTGGTTACAACTGTGCTTTAAATGTATTTTCTCACCCGTGCTAACCATTACGCAGCACGTGTGCACAACAATGAAAATGTTGGTATGTTGTGTTGAATCCATCTCTGTGTGCGATTGACACGTTTATATTGAACCCAATATACACTTTATGGAAATTGGGCAAAACTTTTTGTTAAACGGTTTCATTTTTTTTTTTGATAGTTATATCTAAACAGTTGACAAAGTTCAAGAGGTTTTTCCTATTTAATTTAGTTTTCGTACGGCTCATTTATCCACATTAAAACTAGGCAGGACCATGTGATTGACCGCTACACTGAACTTAGCTGTCGTCGCGTCGCGAGAAAGATAATTTATGCTGCCAATGATCAGATTCAGAGAGGTTGTCCCCATGTTTTAGTTTATGCTACAAGATGAGTTGTATACAACAGACTGCGTCTGAAAGGGGCATTTGCACCCTCTCTCTCTCTGTCACATGCCCGTGGATGCCTCAAAGGGCCCAATGGCAGGTAACACGTTCAATGCTTGATTAGTTCATGAGGAATTCCTGGAACACCTTGAGGGTGCGGTTCCAGCAGTGTCTAAGGAATAGAAAATGTCCTGGGCTGCAAATTGTTTTTCAGAATGTTTTACCTTTTGACGCAGCAATATTAGCAGTTATGCTAACCAAACCAAGCATTGCACAAAGCCTGAAATCAGTTAATAATGTCAAAGAAACACCATTAGAAAGAATAAAAATTTTCCGTTCAATCAATTCAATCACACCTTTATTTGTGTAACAATCTGTCTCTAGTGCGCGTTACTGCATTGGCGCGCTCGCCCTCTTTCTCTCTCGCCCTTTCGGTTTCCCCGTGCATGTTTTTCTTACGGTTTCATGTGTGTTTCCATCTTGTCTTTCTAGTCTTTATATTTTCTGTGTTTCTCGTATCTGTTTCCCATCAGGTCTCCCTCATCGGTGTTTACCCAAGTACGTGCGGACGGCTTCCGCCTTTTTCCGTTTACTTTCAGTCGTCCTCGCTCCTGTTCCCGTGTCCTCACGTGTGTGTTTGCTCACGTGATTCTCCTGTGTTTGTTTTCCCATGTCAGTATTGTCACGTCTTCCTTCCGTGTCTCTGATTGTTAATTGGTTTTTCTCTGTGTCTTCTCACCCCTCATCCCGGGCCAGCCGTCCCTCATTTGAGTTTTCCTTTTTAAGCTCTAGTTTTGTTTCCTTCTGTGCTGGTTCATTGTCGTTGATCATTCAGAGCACTTTCGTAGTATTGCTGTAGAGATTCTTACTTTTCGAGGTGCCTCTCTGCTATGACTTTTGTGAGTCTACGAGGTATTTAAGGTCTATTCTGATTTTTATTTTGGCTGCATTTATTTTCTCTGAGAGTGTTTGCTTTTATTTTATTTTACTCTGTTCCAAGTTATTATTTTTAACTTGTTCAGAGTTAGTCTTTAGTTTAGCTGTCTGTTTCCAGTGTTTTAGTTAGTTAATGTTTTCCCCTCTCACAGGGCTTTTGTATTTATTTGTTTATTTAAATAAAGAGCCCCTCTGCTGAGTGTATTTTGCGTATGAGTTCTTGTCTCACTGCCGCCACCTACGCAGTGACACACCTTACCTACAAGATCCTGACAATTTGTTACATACACTGTTACATGCAGTGAAATAAGACCCCTCTGGCCACAGACATAGACCAGGTAAGGACAAGCCAGTGTGGAGAGATAGCATTTGAGAAAGAAACAGAGAAATGGATATACATTAGGTAGGGTAGCTCAAAAAGAGCCTTTTCTGCACTGTCCTTCAGAGGGCAGTGTGGAGCAGGTTAAAAAAGCCATTGCAACCAAGCACATATAGACATAATACAGGAAAAAACATTGCAGGAGGGGGTAGGGTCAAGGAAACGTTTAAAGTGGTTTTATGGCATTTCCACTGTTTGTGCTCCAGTGTTTCTCATTCTAGGAGTATGTTCATGGTTTGCTGTATTTATCTCCATGCCATCACATCTTCTTGTTGCTATGACACCTGAGTCATTTCAAGACATGTTTCGTTTGCTTTTTCGTGGCTAGATGAAAGTGAGTGTTCTTGAGTAATTGCTTTTGAAAGACACAGTCCCCCATGTTCCTATGACCTTACATCGCCTGCACTGGGCTTCACCACATGCCTCTCTGAAACCATGGCAGAGAATGCCTTGAAGGTTTAGCAGAGTCCAGAAGATAAATGGAATGAGCAGATAAATGTGGATGTTGTGTCTTGGTTACACTGCATTCCTACTGTTACTACAGAAAATGATAATGAAAATCAGTCCGTGGATGTTGGCATTTTGTAACAAGATTTCTAAGTACAATTTCTGCTTTCATTCAAGCAGATATCTTGAGGCTTTGGTCTTTATGGACACAGTTATTTCATGAAAGCGAATGAACTAGGTTATAATTTAAACCCTAGACAATTAGGGCTTAAATTAGAGTTTATCCAAGTCTTACTCTGTCTGGTTACCCTTTAGGATTTTCTGGTTGCTTGCCTGTAGGCTTTAAAGAAACATTGATCTTTTCGCTCATTTTGTTTCTTTCGATAAAAAGCTTTGCTAAATTTAGCCTGCACTCATCAAACGAGGCAATGATACTGTTTTATCTTGTTGTGTGCCCTTTGGCTCCATCTGATAAAAGGCAGGTAATCAGACAGGTTTTGATACTGAAAAAGAATAGCTGACATGTCTGCCATTATGTATTAGAGTCTGGAACGACAGCGTAGCACGAGTAACTGCTGATCCGACTCTTGTGTTGCAGCAGTAAACAAGATGACACTTGAGATCACTCCAAGCTCCCTGACAAATAAGGTCAGTCGTCTAACTGAAAAGATTTGTATTAAAACAGTAAAAGATAGGGCTGGGTAAAAAAATAATGTTCGATTTCCTGTTTAACGCAACAATATCGATTCGAGAGTTTCAGTTACCAGCATTTATATCAAAATATGGATCCCATGTCTGCAAAACTAACATTTTAAACAAATATTTATAGCTAACTGATTTGAATTGAAATCATAAAAAACAAATCGAATTGCCGAATTGGCACCCTTCTAAAACATACAGAAATGAATCAATTAAAATATGAAAACCGTACCACATACACTTTGAAATGTGGGAATGTTTATTGCATCAGGCTCTGCTTCCTTGTGGCAGAACTCTGAGCAATTACTGTAGGGTTCTATGCAACTTTGACCCTTGTTGCTGTATGTAATCATCA